TGCACCACCCTTGCTRATTCATCAACTTATCTGTTATTGCTGCCATTTGCATCCTAAGAGGCTGACTGCACAATCGTGAATTGATATCTAACCCTTGATAGCTTTTGCTCAGCGTAATTGAAGGGGTTCACCAATAAGCTCCTTTGAAACACATTTTAAATAAAGCGTGGCTGTAACTTGTCGCAGCTCTCCGCCAGGTTCAGCGTTGAGGTGCTATCTTGGTGTTTTTCTTCTCTAGATGAGGTTGTGTTTATTCAAGCGTCTCAGTCAGACACTGTAACCTGAAGCTGCAAGGTTTTTGTCTTTATCTCCCAGGATAGTTAGTCTTCTCAACTAATTTTAAAGGCGTTCATAACCTTATTGCTCAAAGTGGTTTGGTAGGTCAGTAACCATACACAGTGTGCATTATATGCTTTACCATATTTTATTCGTTGGCTTTAATGCTGGCACTTGGATGTGTTTTTTGTGTGAGCTCACTTCAAGCTGAGGTGCTGATCGTCTCATGTATTTTTCACTGTTGGTCTTGTGGCGTAGGGCTCGTATGTCAGACTTTGTTTTGTTTCTTTGAGACATGGGCTCTCGTGTTTGTCATTAGTCTGACACTGAGGTTATGATGCACAGACAGTGATGTCCTCCACATAGACACAGGTGTACAGTATGATGTGTGATTGTAAGTCCAGTGTGCTTTCATAATATTTTTCTTTAACGGTGTGTAGCGTGTGGGCTGAAGCTGGGGTGRCAGAGGCAAATGTTTTCTGAAATTTAGGAAGTTTTTATTTCCCCATGTTGTAGATTCTGAACTGTATTTTCAGCAGGGAAGTATCCAACTACTTTGTGTGTGTGTGTTAGTTTCTGCCAGAGGACCATCACGTTATAACCAACAAAGTGATGTAATTTTCCTGGTCCTTACCTTATTTTTATTTTATTTTTTTTTGCGGTTCTTCTGCACTCTACTAGTTAAGTTTAGAGGTGTAATGTGAACTAAGTTAAGGTTAGGGTAAGGAATAGACTAGTAATAGAGTTAGGGGAAATGTATGGGTTATGCATTAATGCAGTTAAAAATATGAATGGAAGTCAATACAAAGTCCTCAGGTTAATGGAAGTACAAGGATGTGTGTGTGTGTTAGGGTTGGGCAATATTGGCAAAAAAAATCACGATTAATTGTGGTATTTAGCCGATAACGATTAACTTGACGATTAATTCCCTGGAGTCCCTGGACACCCTTATGTCCTAGTCACATGACCAAGTTAGTGGGAAAGATTTGCTTTTTGGAAAAATCTGTTCCAAATTGTGTCAAAATTACAGATTTCATGCTAAACATCAAATTTTAAATTGTGTTGATAGATAAATAATTAACAGAACTTTTTTTAAATGTTTGTYATATTTGAAGCGGAGAGGAGCACCGAGCGGACTGACCGAGGAAATATCCTGTCAGTCTGCCTGGTGGCATCAATTGTATTAATCGTTAAGTGCCAAAAAATAATCGATTAATGTTTTCCTGACAATTAATTGCACATGATACGATTATGCCCAACCCTAGTGTGTGTGTGTGTGTGTGTGTGTGTGTGTGTTCATTTTGTAAACTTGCTGGCAATCAGGAACATATTTCTTTTGCCCTCTCAGCTTTCTACAGAGTTTGAAGTGAAATTGTATTCACTCCAAAGCAGATCTGAAGATAGATTTTGGCAGCTTGAGACTACTTTAGAGTTTGAACTGAGGAGAAAAAAAAAAGATGACAGCCATACTGAAGTATCGTGGTTAAGTTTGGTCGGTCCTGAGCTGAGATTTCTGCTTTTGAAGTATCCAATACACCAGAGAAAAAGGATTTTMTACAAGTAATTGACCCACATGTCTCTTGATGACAAGAAAAGGGCATGTAATGACTTTAAAGTGTCTCTCTGGGAATTTTTGCCATTCTGATCATAAAGCTCATTTATCATCTTGCCTTCGTCGGCTGTTAGGACCAAGAAGGAATAAAGCTCAGTAAAATTAGTCTTTTCATTTGACAAATCACAGCCAGGCCAAAAGAAGTGKTTTTTAGTTTATCTTGTGTTTAATGGAAGCTTCTGTAGGACTGTAGTTCCTCCATTACCTGCAGAAGCACCTGCACAATAACAAGTTATTCAGGCAGCAACTTAAAATCTGTTTGAGTCACAATTGTACAAATTGTGCAATTGTAAGTTTTCCTAAGCAYGTATGAACAAAATGAATTTTTCTGTTGCCCCTGTGCTGTCATAGACAGGTTCTGTGTTGGTCAACCTCATGCAAACAAACCCTTTTATGATTAATAAAAACCCATCGGTGCATTCTTGAAGTCGTTTTGATGTCGTCCGTATTTGTGGTGGCAAACAGTGCAGCTCAGATAAACAGTTGCTGGCAAGTAATGTAAAATATTTTGTGTGCATCACACACATTTATTTAGATATTTAGGAGTGTTGTACTCCTATGTAGAGATCTTACAACCTGATGCACGGCGGCAGCATATGTCACATGATCGATTCACATGACCTTTTTAAACTGCTGTTGCTAAAAAGACACAGGCTCTCTGACATTCTGTTGCATTTTTTGTCAAAAATGAGACTTCAGACTATACAGCCATTTTTAAATTGTGTTGATAGACCAAGTAAAACTGGAGTTAGGATATATTATGCCACTTTTTTTTCTGAAAATGATCGTCCTGTTTGAAGCAGGAAACAGTAATCGCATGGAAAAAAACAGTCAGCCATCTATCTCATCTTTCTTTCAAGCCTAAAGGTTATTATAACCCCCCCCCCCCCCCCCCCCC